TTTTAATGAATTTTTAAATAAAAAATTAATTATATTATAATTATAATTTTATAATATTACATAATATTATAATTTATATATTCTTACATAAGTTATTATAAAAGATAAAAACAATTTCTTTAATCTAAAACATCACAGAGTTTCAATCAAATTAAGCTTTTATCTTAAAAAGTAACGAGGCACAATGTAAAAACAACTTTGGAAATGGTCTTAATAAAGTAGTCTTTACTCCTCAATTAATTATAGTTATAAAAAAAAAAAAAAAATCTCACGTTTCTTTCACTCCTCAATTATTTAAGTTGTTTCAATCTATAGTTACTCATACAAATAGAAACAACTTGACTGTAGAATATCGATAGAAACGATTTCCACATGAAGTCTAAAGCACCGCGTAATGGGGATCAAATTAACACTTTTTCTAAAAGAAGTCAATAACAGCTGCAATGAATAAACAACTTTGGAAACATTCAGACTGGTCTTTACTCCTTGACTAATGGTAGGTAGAAGAATCCAACAACCCTTTCACATCTCAATTATTTAACTCAATTATTTAGGTCATTTCGAACTTTCCATCTATAATTACTCATGGATTAAATTGATTATTGAGCTTTTAATTTAATTTTTTTTTTTAACATTTTGACACGGGTCGGGTTCGAAACCCGCCCAGGGGAGGGGGGAATGCACCTAGCAAGCTGACTAATGCCAATGGCCCTCTAGGCCCAGGTGCTATTGAGCTTTTAATTAAAAAGTTATTTCATATAGTTAAAAATTTTAAATTTTAAATTTTGAGACAAATGAGAGAGATTTAAAAAAAAATAACTATTGCATATTATACAACTTATTGTTTTATTAAAAAAAATCTGATCATTAGTTACGTGAAAATTAGGACTTATAACTTAATGATTCATTGGAAATTGTAGCAAATACTACTTGGAATTTAATGATTAAAATGTCTACCGTTAGAAAAAGGGATAATGTTTGCAATGTGGAGATTTGGATAGAACTACGAAGCCATTTGAGGAAATGGTATAGTTTCGGAAGTCACTTTTCCACTATACTTAGAAATAATAAATAATTTTAGCATTAAACAAAACTGTCATATTTCAAAAATAAATCTCACATCAATAAAGTATAGATATATAAACTCAAATTTATTGATTTTTATTGACATATAATAAAATTGAAACTCACTATTAATTTAATAATTATTTAAAGTTAAAATTCATACTCTTAAAAATTTAAATTTAAGTTAACAATAATTTGCTTATAACAATTATATACTAATTATATTTACATTTTGACCTTGATATCACAGGGCATAACAAGAAAAACCATAATCCGATTCCTACGCGTTTTTGAGAAATTCACGCAAATCACTCTCTTTAATTTTCCATGCAGTCAAACCATGTCGCTGTATTTAGTATCTAATATCTATAGAACGTGGTGATGCAACACCTTTGTCTTGTGCAAGGGAATGGTTATATATGGTAATATATATATGTGTCTTGCTATGGATGGTGGTTCCAAAGGGTTATGTGGGATTGTAAAGTCGATAAGCTGCAAGGCTGCAAGTAAATTAAATGGAATTATAAATTATTCCCTGCATTAACTTTATTTGTTTTATTTTAATTTTTTGACTTTTTGTACATAAATTTCACATAAAAATTCAATAGATATGAATGACAACTGAAATTTCTTGAGCAGTTCCATTTGGTTAAATTTCATCTAAAACTTATATTCGAAAAAAAAAAATCAAAGTAAAATAACTAAAGTCGGTCGGCGATGGTCGGAGGTGATAGTAGTTTAAGAATAGACTTTGATCAAGAAGCCGGTCGCAACAGCGGAATTCTTCTGTCCCTTTCAAAAGCCTTTGCAAGTAACGTGAAAATGACCCAAATTGACTTACTCAAATTCTTTGCCCCTGCCTTCACTCACTTTCACTTCTTCTTATTTAACCACTATATATACTTCTTCATCCCCTGTTTTTGTAGCATAGTTTTGAGTTCTCTATGAATACCAACATAAGTTTAACACTACTGTGTCCTGTTGTTGGGTGACGCTAATTAGTGCCAAAATCTACTTATGCAGAGGTTAGATTTTCTGGCTTTCTCATTTCTCTTTACAGTTGCTTTATTCTATTTCATTTCCTTCTTTTTTTAGTAATTTGATAAATATTCGAGGCAATTAGCTAGGTTGAGAATAACCATTCAATTTAAAGAAATCTCTCAAACTAATCTTTTTATACAAAACATTTTAATGACCAAATGTTTAATTAAAAATCAAACTAGCTAGCATAAATTTTTGGTTTACAATTAATTATAATTTTTTCCAGTTTAATATTTTTCATATTTATTAATCATGGAAACAGTTTGTTATAATGCCATCTCTTTGATTTTGAGTTGTAGGTATTTTTCAGCATCCATGGAGAACATGATTATGAGCTTTATCTTCCTTCCAATGTTGTTAATGCAAAGTTTCATAACTGCTCTAGCCATGTCTCAACCAAACTTGACCACAGACCAATCTGCCCTTCTTGAATTTAAAGCTCACATTACTTCTGATCCTCTTAATATCTTATTCTCCAACTGGTCTTCTGTCACCCCAGTCTGTAACTGGTTTGGCGTTTCCTGCAGTGATCTTCATCATAGAGTTACATCCTTGGATCTTTCAAACATGAACCTCACTGGCAGCCTCCCTCCCCAGTTGGGAAACCTATCTTTCCTTGTATATCTCAACTTGTGTAGAAACAGCTTCAATGGTCATTTGCCTCCAGAAGTAGGGAAGTTGCGGCGTTTGAGGTTCATGGACTTGAGCTTCAATTTTCTAGATGGAAGCATCCCAGATGAGATTTGGTTGCTTTTAAAGTTGGAGATTTTTAAAGTAGGAAACAACCAGCTTACGGGAACTATATCAAAAAACATTGGCAACTTAACTAAGCTAAGGACAATATATATTGGAGATACGAAGATAGGAGGTGCAATTTCATATTTTTTTTAATCTATCTTTTTCCCTTTTTTTTTTTATAGTATCTGTTGAAAGTTATATCATTTCTCAATTAAACTATAAAATCCCAATTTTTTTGCAGGGGAAATACCACAGGAGATAAGTAATCTTCACAATTTGGAGAAATTTGCAGCTGGAAATGCAACCTTCTCAGGTCTCATTCCACCAAAAATCTTCAATATCTCTTCCTTGAGATGGATTAATCTCTACACAAATAACCTTTCTGGCACCCTCCCTACTGACTTATGCTACCATCTACCAAATCTTAAGCTACTTTATTTGAATAAGAATCAATTGAATGGCTCAATTCCTTCAAGTATAGGCAGGTGCAAGAAGCTTCAGAATTTGTCTCTAGCAATTAATAGATTCACTGGATACATCCCTAGAAGCATTGGGAACTTGACCGGACTTACTGAAATATATCTTGGTAACAATGACTTAGAAGGTAAGATTCAATAAACTCACTAGAACCATTCCAAATGATATGTACCAATCCAATGCAAACTCTTTTTCAAGAATTATTTCTTAATCTCTTATCTTTATCAATAATTCTATCTTCGCGTTAAAATTAAATACAAGTTGAAAAGCTTGCAATTAATTTGTTTAGATGTTTGGCAGGTGAAATACCAGAGGAGTTAGGCAACTTACCCTTGAGGGTTTTAGATATGGGAAGCAACTTCTTGACTGGTTCCATTCCTCCCATAATCTTCAACATCTCAACCTTGGAAATCATTTCCTTAGCAATGAATAACCTTTCAGGCCATCTTCCTTCAACTGTTGGACTTGGGCTTCCAAAGATTACTGAGCTACAGCTGTATCAAAATAAACTCAGTGGCATTTTTCCAAGTTCTATCTCCAATTCTTCCCTACTTACCATTCTAGACCTCAGATATAACTTGTTTAGTGGCCCTTTCCCCAATTCTTTTGGCCATCTGAGATTCCTCCAAAAGCTTCACTTGATTGGAAACATGTTCTTTGAATTCTCCACTCCTAAAAGAAGCTTCCTCTCTTCATTGACAAACTGCAGATTTTTGACATGCCTATCCATATCGTCTAATTCATTCAATGGTGTCCTTCCGGCTTCAATTGGGAATCTATCTACATCTCTTCGATATTTTGAAGCAAATAATTGCAAAATCCAAGGAAAAATTCCCATAGAAATTGGCAACTTGAGCAACTTGATATCTTTAAGTCTTTACGGTAATGAATTGATTGGATCAATTCCTGTAACAATTGGAAGATTGCAACAACTCCAAGGTCTATATTTTTATAGAAATAGACTTCAAGGAGGAATTCCTGATGATCTATGTCATTTAGAGAGATTATATCAATTGGAATTAGATTATAATCAGCTCATTGGATCCATGCCAGAGTGCTTAGCCAATTTGACTTTTTTAAGATATCTGAACTTAGGTTCCAACAACTTAAGTTCTACCATACCCTCTACCTTTTGGAGTCTTAAATATATCTTGGAAGTAAACTTATCATCAAATTCATTTAGTGGCTTTCTTCCATTAGATTTTGGAAACTTGAAGGTCTTGATTAGCATGGATTTGTCTAGAAATAAGCTATCAGGCAATTTACCTAGCACCATTGGGGGCCTCAAAGATATGACTCATCTTTCCTTAGCAGAAAATGCATTACAAGGTAGCATTCCTCAATCATTTGGTGGGTTGGAAAGCTTGGAATTCCTAGATCTCTCTAACAACATTCTCTCCGGGGTTATTCCTAAGTCTTTGGAAAGACTCTCATATCTCAAATTCTTCAATTTATCTTTCAATAGACTTGAAGGAGAAATCCCAAGTGGAGGATCATTTACAAACCTCTCAGCTCAATCATTCACGGGAAACACTGCCCTCTGTGGTTTACCAAGATTTCAAGTATCTCCATGTAAAAGCAACCCATCGTCTCAATCTTGCAAAAAATTCATCCATGTGCTAAGATTTGTGTTGCCACTTATAGCAGCTACCATATTGATAATGACCCTCCTCATCATCTTTACAAGACGATACAAATCAAAAGAAAAATCCACAAATGAAGATGCTTTTCTAGAACCAACAAGATGGAGGAGAATTTCATACCAAGAACTTCAACAGGCAACTAATAGATTCAACGAAAGAAACTTTCTTGGTAAAGGGAGTTTTGGATCAGTATACAGTGGGACACTTCAAGATGGAATGAACATTGCAATAAAAGTCTTCAATCTACAAGTAGAGGATGTACTCAAACGTTTTGACGCAGAATGTGAAGTACTACGCAGTATTCGCCACCGAAATCTGATCAAAATCATTAGCCGTTGTTGTAATGAAGATTTCAAAGCCTTGGTGCTCGAGTTCATGCCTAATGGAACCTTGGAGAGGTGGCTGTATTCTGATGTATGTTGTCTGGACATTCTCCAGAGATTGTATATAATGAAAGATGTGGCATCTGCTCTAGAATATCTCCACCATGGACATCCAATTCCGATTATCCACTGTGATTTGAAGCCTAGTAATGTGTTGCTTGATGAAGATATGGTTGCACATGTAGGAGATTTTGGCCTTGCCAAGCTTATGGGGGCGGGGGAATCTATGATGCAAACCATGAGGATTGCCACAATCGGCTACATGGCACCAGGTGATCCTTCATTTTTATTTTTTCTTTCTTTCTTCTTTTTTGTTATAAAATTTAAAAAAAAAAAAAATCTCAAATAAGCTTTTGCACATATCAAATTAATTTCATTTGTCCACTCTGTATTTGCTTAATGTTTATAATCTGATACAGAGTATGGATCTTTGGGAATGGTTTCTACCAAAGGTGACATTTACAGTTATGGCATCTTACTTATGGAGACATTCACAAGGCGAAAACCTACTGATGAATTGTTCACTGGGGAGATGAGCTTGAAGCTATGGGTGAGAGAGTCACTGTCCTACTCAGTAACAAAAATTGTAGATGCCAATTTGATTAACAGAGAGGAGAAACATTATAATGCCAAGATAAATTGTGTGACATCCATTATGGAATTGGCTTTGGATTGTTGTGCAGAATCACCCAGAGAAAGGCCAAACATGATGGACGTTGCAGCCATGGTCAAGAAGATCAAAGAAAAATATCTCAAGGATAGTTAGTTTTTGAACAAAGAGATGAAGGTCTGGAAATGTTCAGAACTCAAGTTTCGTTGAACGATATTGCATTTTTATATACAAATAAATAATACTACTAAAAGCATAAAACTGCATCTTTGCGTTTGGATATCAGTTTCTTTATTCACAACTCTTGCAATTCAAAGAAAATTCACCGTCATATTTCTCTGCTATCTCAAGAAAAACGGGAGATACAGTCGACACCGATATTCATCTGCTTCATATTCAAATTTTGTTTTTAATTTGGAAAATCACAACTTAAAAATGTCGTCATACTTGAATTAATAAAATAGCATATTGACCTAAAATAAAAATAAAAAACTAATAGGACTAACAACAATATATTCACCAATTCAAAAAAATAACAACAATATATTCACTTCATATTCATAAAAATTCAGAACAAACTATGCATTCGATCACATTGTGAGACAAATGAAAATAATGAATTCGTAAGTAAAATTTTTAAAAGTTTAGGGGGTGTTCCTGATGCTACCAACTGTTACCGTCATATCAACGTTGTTTTAGTATAAGATTTTTTTGTGTGCATTTGATAATAAATGAGATAATTTAAAAATATATATATATAATAATAAATTGTACAACAGATCAAAGATGACCTTTTATTTTTAAATGCCTCCTCGTACATTTTAAAATTAAATTTGATATTTCAAACAAGCAAGGTTAACCTGCTTAAACTCGTAAATAGTGAAACTAGGATGAGTGCATTCCCAAGGTCCAGTTAGTTTGGGCTTCCGGGTTGGGGCTTGACTTCAATTAAATTTGGACTGGTAGCAGACTATGCACAGCGCAGCCGCGGAAAATTGCTATTTGCAAGTCAAACACGTTATGGAGTAAAAACATAATAATAGTAGGGATTTAAGAGATTTTACGGATATGAGGACATCATTTTTAAAAGTTTTTTTAATTAAGAATACTATTTTTTTATTAAATTAATTAAGGTTGTCACCTTTAAAAATTTTCTAAATAAGGATATCACATTTTCAATTTTACTAATTAAGAATTCGTTAGATGTTAATGCTGACTTGGCAAACAGATTCCACCTGTGAGGCTCACTAAATCGCTGATGTGTAAAAAATTGACAGGTGGTGCCCTGACTTGGAGCCGATTTTGATAATACAGAATTCTTAATGAATAGTGTCGACACCGAAACACGTGGTGTCGGCACCGAACCCATGTCGAAAATTCTTTGTGACGTTTAGGAAAATTAATTAAAAATATGATAAAATAAATTAATAAACAATTCCTAAAAAAATTAAAATAGCATACGGAATTCCTCTAAAATAGCTTTTTGACAATTAAAATAATAATATTTTTACATCCATCTAAATATTAAAAAATTATAAAGAGATTCAAACTCTTATTCTATTCTTTATAGTTGACTGAAAGAATTACACAATTTTAAAGAACAACTTGTCATTGAAGATCTTTTCGTTTATTATTTTCATAATGTCAAAGTAAGATTATTTATTTTATTCTTATTATTTTTTGTAAATAACAATAATATTATTAGTTTGAGTACAATAGGTATTTAATCCTCGTAATCCATCTCAAGATCCCTTTGCTTTTTATTTGCCATTACACCTTACTATAAACTTGAATCAGAATTTTTAATAGGATTTTTTGTCCATTACTAAAGGCATAATTTTTATCCATAATTTATAGTGTATTAGTCACAGATTAAATTTCTATCTCTTTCTAAAATATTTGGTTATGTATTATAATATATTTTTTCCCAACTTAACACAAAATCTCAAAGTGATAGGCATAGTTTTTAAAAAAGTTATTATATTTAGTAATTTATAGGTGCAGGTAGGAATTTTGTTTACTGTTGTTTGTGCGGTAGGGGATATACCATGTGTGGTTAGCATTGGATTAAATGAAATGTTTTATTTAATTTCTGTTATGATTGCAATATTGGAGGCTTAACTACGTTGATTACACATTATGGAGGTTCTTTAGTGCAATATCCTATGGTTGAATATGTTGGTGGTGAAAAGATTGAAAATAACAAATAAGATCCTGACAAGCTCAATTACATGGATATGGTTAATGAAGTAACTAAAAAATGTAGTATTAGTATTAAGGATATGTGTTACTTGATTCCGAACCAAACTAGTTCAGAAGCTTTAGTTCCATTGAGCAATGATACTGATGTGGTGAAGATGGCTCAAGAGCTCTCTAAGCATGGACTCATTAATGTGTTTGTTGAGCATTTTGATAATGTTTTAACTTCAGAACAGTACATTTTGCAGAGTAGTGATGATGAACAATTTGATCTTGAGTCAGATAATGAGGAAGATGTTTTATTATTTGACATTAGTGTACTTAGCAATAATGATGATCTAGAGTTAATAGGAGCAGTGATGATGGTCTAGACTCTAGAGTTAATAGGAGGAGTAACTAAGTCTCAAGAAAGGGTGGAAAAAAAATAAATAATAACTGGTGTGACCGTTGCATTTAACTCTCAATAAACAACGCCGTTAGTTACAGTGGACGGAGTGACAACATGGGGGTGTTTATGCATTGTAGAGGGACAACACATGGAGTTAATTAATAGTAGAGGGATGACATAGAGCCAATCAATAGTAGAAGGTTTAGATTGCACTATTTTTAATAGTAGAGGGATGATAATTGGCATTAATCCGTATAAAGTTTAAATTGAACCTTTTTCAATATTAGAGGGATGATAGTTGGCTTTAAACCCCCTCTTGGAGTCTGGAGTAGGCGCCTTTTGGCTCTTACTTTTACTGCGTGTGTTAGATGGTGGGAAATAGAGAGAAGGAGAAGAGAGGATAAAATTTTTTTTACTTAATTATTAAAAAATTGATAGGGAGAGGAGAGTGAAAAAAATTTTTATTTTATTTTTTTTAATTTGTTAATTTATTTAAAAAAAAAAAAAAAAAAAAAAAAAAGAAAGAAAGAAAGAAGAAGTATAAAAGATAAAATTCTCCTCTTTTCCCTTTCTCCCCTCTCCATTTCCTCAACTAAATCACGTGGTTAGAAAGGTGCATAGACTTTATGACTCTGTGCTCACCTCTCCATTTCCTCAACTAAAACACATAGTTAGAAAGGTGCATAGACTTTATGACTC